ACAAATTTTAGATGATATAATAAATAACAAACCACCACCTTTTTTCAATAACACACCATTTAGACCAAATTTCCAAAATACTTTGCATCCAAGACCAAATTTTTCAAATTTTTCGAGACCTCCTTTTCAAAGGAATCCACAGCCTTTTAACGTATTTCAAAATAATCAACCTCAATTTTTTCAAAGACAAAATCCTAGTACAGTGACTAGAACCAGCCAAAATTCATATAAACCTGAACCAATGGATACTAGTTCTGGTAACTCTAGAATTATAATAATAATTACATATAATAGATGCTTAATTTTTNTTCAGTTTCTTCTTTCAGTTCTCTTTTTTTTTCTCTCATTTCTTCTATCTTCTTTTCCATTATGATTTCCCTTTCTCTGATTTTCTTTTCCGTCTTGATTTCTCTTTCTTCTATTTTCTTTTCCTTCTTGATTTCTCTTTCTTCTATCTTCTTATCCACTTCAATTCTAATATTATTTATTTTGTCCTCCATTCTCGTATTTATTGCTTCCTGTACTGCTTCCATTTTCTTTTTCTTGCCCCAGTTTCATTTCTTCTTGTCGCTGTTTCATTTCTTCTTGCCGTTTTCCATTTTTTAAGTCATATCTGCCATCATTGTCATTAGTACTTTTATTTGTCCCTCCATTTTAGCTTCGGTAGCTCTAGTCGTAACTGGCATGAAATATTTCGATTGAATTCTTCAAAATTCTTCTCCTTCAATCCTCTTCAATCTTGTTCTAACTCTACACCTAACGCCAAATGTCCTGCATTTAAACGCATTTTCAAACTGTTATTGCCTTTATTTAACTATTTTATGTCTAATTAGCACTCTATTATTATTTAGTTATCAATTCAATACTATGAACACTTTGTCACTTCTTCGCTTTGTATCGCCTCGAACTGAGTGACTCGTACTAACTCCACTCGATCACGCGACTATTCATAGACTTCACGTTTTCTAGAATTTTCGAGTATATGCCGTTTAGAAACCTAGTCTTCTTTGTCACTAGGTATGTTAGGTTGCTTAAATACATGTGACAATATAAATAAATAATCAGTGCGAAATGAGAGCGAATACTAAGTGATATAACTACTACAAACATTAATAACACAGTGTGATTATAAATAACTAAAGTAATATTAGAAAATTCATTCTAATATTATTTTATTTAAAGGAAAACCTAATAGTTGTAGAAGACTTTAACGCGGTATACGGTAAAGGTAAACAGTTCTTTCGGATTAGACAATAGAAATGCTAGAGGATATAGACTGATAGAATTTTGCGACAAACTTAACTTAACCGTCTCAATTACTTATTTGACCATCACGTTAGGAGGCGCTACACGTGGGAGATGCCAGATGATTTAGACATATACTATCCAGGAAAAGATACAGATAGCGAACATAACGTAGTGGTTTTGAAAACCAATCTTAAATTCAAATTTTTGAAAACGAGGGAAGATGGGAAAGTCTTGACTTGGAAAAACTAAAATGTAACGGAGCGCGCAAAGAGCAGACGGAATACTAAAACAGACGGGAAAAGCGAATGACAGGAACGTAGAAACAGAATGAAACTTCATTGAAACACGCCTAGATTCGCAGCTAGAGAAATATTACGTCTTAAACAAAAAGTAGGAGACCTTAGATAACTAACAAGATTATAGAACTAATAGAAAGGGGAAATACAAGAACAGGACAGACGAAAGATCAAAAAAAGATATAAGACAAAGTGAGAAATAATCAAGAAGTGTAGCGCAGCTAAGGAACAGTGTATTGATATGAGGTGTAAGTAAAAGAAAATTTTGATGTAGGTAAAACGGATGAGACTTGTAATATAATTGAAAGGAGTTTTAGAGAAATAGAGTACATTATTAATAATATAAGAAGCGAGACAGGGATCGCTTTAATAGAAAATGAGGAAAAGGCAGAGTAATCTTCAAAAAGGTTACAGATCATATGCTTAGGCTAATTTGTTACATATACGAGACAAGAAAGTCCCGAAAGACTATAAACGGAACGTAGTAGTAGCAGCCATACCAAAAATGGGAGGCGTGGATGGATTAGAAAAATTTAGAACAATTAACTTAACTTCCCATATGTTAAAAATATTAACTAGAAACATACAGAGAAGAATAGAAAAAAGGGCAGAAGAACTATTAAGGGAAGGTAAACATGGGTTTTGAATAGAGGAATGCGGAGATTTCATTTTAGCTTTACGTGTAACAATAAAAAAACGAAAAAGTACGTATATAGGATTCGTAGATCTAGAAAAACTCTTGACAATGTTTTATGGCACAACAAGATATTAAATACACTTTAAAATGTAAGGATGATATACAGAGATAGAAGAAAGATACACAGTTTACATAAAGAGCAACAGACAGTTGTAGAGGTTAATCAGCAACGTAGAGAAGTAAATATTAAGAAGGAAGTCAGACAACGACGCACACTGTCACCGCTACTTTTTAATCTATACGTCCAAATCGCGAACAATATCATTAAAGACAGGACATCTGTAGGGATAGATATACAGGGGCAAAAGATTAGTATGCTTAGATTTGAAGATGATATAGGAGTGTTAGCATCTAGCAAGGAGTTAGAGATAGTCTTGGAGGGTATTTTCGATAACGTTTAGCCAAAACGAAAAATAAACTTGAATACAAAATTGAGGATACACGGTTGAACGAACTCACAGAAAAGTTCCTGAACAAACCATTGATGTGAAGCAGGAGCATCCCGTTCCATCGAATGTAACCACGAAACCACCGAAGTTTGATGGAAAGACATCATGGATTATTTTCTTTACACAATTCAAGGCAGCTGCAAGGACCAACCCCTGGATACCGAAAGAGAAAGCCACTGCACTTACCTGTACCTTACGTAATGGTGCCGAGGAAATTTTAAATACACTACGGCCTGAAGAATTAGGAGACTACCAGCAGCTAGTGAAACGGCTGAAAATGTGATACCGCCAGGCAAGTGCCAAGTGGCATTAGTCTATCATGTCCAACTAAGAAACCGGAGTCAGAGGCAGGGGGGCTGACTCGTGAAGGCGACCTTAAATTAGGAAGACTTGTGCCAATTTGAAACTGCTTCGAGAATCAGTCAACTATTTGTGGCATGTCATTTAGGAGACAGGCGTTTCTGTTGACCCCCAAAAAATTAAAACTGTGCAGGAGTGACCAGTACTTATCAACATACATGAAGCTCAAAGCTTCTTTGGACTTTGTACATAATACAGACGATGCATTCCTGGATTTGAGAATATTGTTAAGCCTTTGACAACTTATCGAAACGAGTAGACCATTCTGTTGCGAATCGAACTGCCAAGCTGCTTTCGAAGTTCAAATTAAAGCAAGTTCTCGCTTCCACAGCTGTGCTATGTTATCCTCTACCAACTGGGAAATTTGGGATAGGTGTGGTGCTCTCTCAAATACAAAATGGAGAGGAAAAAGTGATCAGCTATTTCAGCAGAACTTTAACCAAGCCTGAACTTGTAACTGTGTAACCGGACGACAACTATCAGCCGTGAAGAAGAGCGTGGAGCATTTCTACATGTGCCTAAATAGAAAGAAGTTTTGGCTCCGGACTAACCTTGCCGCTCTAAAACGGTTACTAAATTTCATAAGTCCTGAACGTCAAGTTGCACGTCGGATAAAAAAGCTCCAAGAACACAATTTTGATATAGAATACCAAGTTGGAAATAGCCACAAGAATGCCGACGCTTTATCCCGAAGGCCATACCCGGAGTATGAAAATTGCAAGTACTGTAGGCACGTCGAAGAGTACGAGCAAGTTAGAAGGATAAATAAAAATATCAAGACAGAACAAGTCTGACTCGGTCCTGAGAACGCCTCGAAAATGGAAAACTAAAGGAAGACGACTGCCCTAGCAAACAGTGGCTGCTAAATCTACCGAAATGAAATCATTATGAGTTCAACCGGATTCTATTGTTGAAGAAAATGGTCTCCTCAAGAGAGTGGTGGAAAACCAGGATGGTACTGAGAGTAACCATCAACTGATCGTACAGCGAAGTTTGGTGGAAGAAGTCTTGCAGTACCTTCATGACGGTTCTTCAGGAGTACATTTTGAGAGTTAACAAAACCCTTTTACTAGCTCAACTACAAGAAAGACGTTGATGATTGATTTAGCAAGTGTACGGCTTTAGCAGCCAGTAATGGTATTGCCGGACCGTTTCCGGAAGCAGATGATGGAAATAAGTACATCGTAGTGGCAATGGATTACTTCACAAAATGGATCTCCATTCTGACCACGACCGAAACTTCCAATCCGCCGTATTGCATGACATTTGTAAAATATTGGGAATTCACAAAACCCAGACTACACATACCTCTACATCCTCAATCAGACGGAATGCTAAAGCGAAGGAGTACTGACTGGCTTTAGAATGGGCCGCGAAATAACTGTTCAACAAGAAGTTGAAGAATTGAAGACCGCGGATTGTTTTACTTCTATTTGCCGACCGGATGTCAAAAGGGCCAGGCTGCAGATATCAACATGACCCTTCGATGGCACGAATGATCCTGGAGAACACTACAAAGTGAATTTAGTGGGGGCAAAATGTAAATCCGGAAGGGACGAAGATGAAATATTTAATATTAAAAAAAAATACACAATCTAACCAACCATATCATAATCTAACCTATTTTAACGTGCCTAATATACATTTTTTAGTTATTTTTAGATTCGCAGAATACGCCATGTGTAATAGTAGAATAATCATATTTAGAAACCATGTGGAATCCAATAATGGATGCCATACTCCAAATTTGAGTGCGATAATTGCAGCAATTATGCAAAATGGTTGTTTGAAGTGCAATAAGTACCTATGTGTATTCATATACATATAAATTGAAAATAAAATACGCAGTATTTTTTTTTTAATAAAAATTAGGTAAAAAATCTGACAAATAACGTGAAAGTCATTCATGCCTTAGTTTCTTTTTTTAAGCAAATGAATAATTGCAAATACCTTGAACTTATAACTGATGATACACTGTCCACCATAACTGTTACAGTTTCCCATCCGTCTTCCTGATTTTTATCAAATTTATCTAATAAGCAATTTCTGTCACAAAAAAAACTCATAGATTTGAATTCAATATTAAAATCAACCCACATATCAACATCCTAAAAGATAAATATATGTTTTAATTTTATAATTTTTGATATGGCAGAATTAAAATATAAACAAAAATCACTAAACCAAATTTCAAATAAATTGTGTTTAAAGATAACAATTTTACCTACCTCCGGTTTTGTCACAGCAATACCATCTAAGAAAACTGAAGTACATTTTATAGAAAAAATTGTTTTAAACTTTGTGTTAATGGCATTTTGTACTGCTCTTAAATGGACATCAAAGTTGTCTAACTTTACATTAAGTAAAGCATTTTTTATTTCAGTGGATTGGGGAAAAAGATAACCCGCATATTGTTTAATTTGCTCAGAAGAACCCACACGGAATATGATTTCTATTAGTGTAGCCTGATAAGAAAAATCACCACAAGAACAAATAATATTTGCCAGTGTGCAACTGAAAGAAAGAAAATTTAAATTGATTGTGTATTAATTTTGAAATAATACCTACAATTTAGTTAAATTGTCAATAAAAATTCCATGACGTTTCTTTCTAACAGTATGTTGCAAGCACTCTTTAAAGGTTTTCATCAGAATTTTAAAAAACCAAGGTGGCTCAATTTTTTCAAGTCTTAGAAGTATTGCTGGTGATAAATATTCTATGAAATCAGTACGCAAATTATCTAGTAAACCAGCAGTAGTCTAAAATTTCAAGTAAAAAGGTATGTTACACAATAGATATTTTATCTACTCACCGTGAGTATATTAAGAAGCCCTTGAATAATATTGTTATTCTTTGAATACTGGTAAGGATTCAATTTTGTAGCTAAAATATGTACACTATCTATATAGTCTATACAACAAGAACATAACAACCACAATTCTTCTTCAGACAATAGTGAAATGCACAGATTCCGGATAACTTGTTCTAAAGCTTTTTTTTGAGTTTTCATAACATAGAGGGTAATTTTATTACACTCGTCCTAAAATACTGATTATCATAAACTGAATAAAATATATTTATAAAAAATTACCTTATGGAGCTGTTCTAAACTTTTTTGCAAGTTCTGTAATTTACTTTTAAGACTTTCTGATGACATTTTTCACATTGAGGAATGTCCAAAAACAGATATTACTTGTATGCGATTCTAGAAGAAAAGTCAATACGTTAAAAGATATGATCTATCGTTCCCCTTAGTTTGTTAAAAACTTTGACAACTATTATATCAGAAATTTAAAAAGTGCTCTTGCTGCTTACCTAATTCTTATGATTTGGCTGCTTTAAAATTAATCTTTTAGGTATGATTACCCGTTTCCCTCTGCCCAAAAGATATAGAAAATGTAAATATGCATGTAAATATCAATCACTAAATGTAAAATACAATTCAAAAATCCCCACCGTTCACCGCAGCGCACAACGCAGCATGTACACAAGTCACGTGTTACATACATAGAGACAATAGTTATCTTTATGGTTACATCTTGTACCAACAGTCATGTGAACTAGTACCCGATATAAATAAACTGCTGATTTAAACTTTACCCTTTGTGTATCTATTATCTATGACTTTACCAATCTGTCAGTAACATAATTTTGCGTCCATTAGGTTTGTTAGAAAAAGGAAAATTGTTTCAGGTGCAGGTAGTAATTCAACGTCGAGTTATTTAAAAACTACTGAAGTTATCATAATTTAATTAACGCCAAACGATTGCGCGTTTGTGCTTGAAGAGTAAACTATTATAGTTAGCACAATGTATCTTTATATTATGTATTAATAATAATTACATATAATAGATGCTTAATTTTTCATTGATACTGCTAATACGCCTACGTCATTCGAGAATCATAGTTAGTAATAGGATCACAGATTAAATATTTATAATTTCATCTATGACGTGAATGTATAGTTTCGATCCGCGCATTCAACAAGAGGCGAGAAGACCATAAAGATAATAAAATAGAGTAAAATCCTGTAAATTGGCACCCGATATAAAGAATCCTTTAATTCACTCTTTGCCAATATATTGTGTCTCGTTTGCGGGTTCGAAATATGTTAGTATCATAATTGTGGGCCCATTAGTTCAATTACAAAAAGGAAAACTGTTTCGGGTATAGATAGAAATTAAATGTCACTTTATTTAAAAACTACTGAAGATATGATAATTTAATTGAAGCCATTGTTGCGTGTTATTTGTGCTTAAAAACTGTTCTAATATGGTAAGCGGAGTTTATTTTTATATTATTTATTAGTAATAATTACATATAATACTTAATTTTTCATTGATATTTGTAATATGCGTACGCCATTTCTGGGTCATAGATAATAATATGATCATAGTCATAAACATATATTAATGAACGTGCCTTAGCCGTATGTCGTAATAATTTCTTGGCTGGAAAAGTGAAAGGAGATGGCGTATGGTTTCCGACTAGTGCTGTCTCTTTTATTACACGCTTACGCACTATCGTGAGACAGATGGATATCGTCCGAAACTTCGTTTTATCTCTTTCTTTTGTTGTACTACAAAAACAAAAGATGCAAGACCATTAATTTCATTGTTGTTTTCATTTCGTCTAAGTTTTTACATTTGAAATAACTATCAATTGTCCACGGCACAGTTTTGTTATGTCAAAGTTAGTGAAATTATCTAATTTTATATAAAAATCCAAATTTACTCAAAATTTTCAAATAAAGCAATATAAAACATCCTCATGGATCGAAAGAGGATAAAATGATAAAAGCAGCCGACAGTTGAAATTATTTTAGTTAAAAATATCATCCTCGATACACGGTTAGTTTACCTAAAACGTCTAATGTACCACCAGTTTGATAAACCCTGATATGAAATAGAAAAAAGGTTTCGTTTAAAGGGTAGCTCTGTTAAAAATAGGTTTAATAGGAAAAAGTTATTCAGAATTCCAAAACATGGGGCCTTGCAAAGAAATATTACCTTGAATTGATCTAAAAGATTGATTAAACATAAAATTTGAATTTGAAATATAAATATGAAAGTGAGACTAAGAAACAAAATTTTCTTTAAAACGAAATATCGCCATATCTACATTCACCCAGCAGTTATATTCACCTATATTTCACACGCTAAGCATTGAGGACTATCATATTACTCGTATGTTCTATGTATTGCATTAAATCTAATGCCTCATCATTCTTTTATATACGTATTATGTATTTTAATTTTTTATGTGCAGAGGAAAAGAAAGAATTGTTTTTAGACTAAGTTACTTTTCTAAACACCGATGTTTTTTCNGTAGTCTTCTTTTGGCAAAACTTAATGCATCAGATGCAACAGAAATCGAAAGACGTATTAAAATAGAACACTACAGTAATTTTGCTTTAAAAACTTTTATTAACGGATTACCTTATCAAATGCAATTAGTGGTTAGATTAAGAAATCCGACTTCATTAGAACAAGCTTTAGCACATGTAACTGAAGAAGAGAATTTTGTTTATTTCAGTACAGGTCATAACCAAAATCTTAAAAATCCCGTTTATAAACCTCAAGCTTGTGTAAATCAAAAACCAAACCCAGTTAATTTTAGATCTTCACATTATACGCAAAATCCTCAAAGTTCTACTTTCCCGTTTAAAGTACCATTACAAACTCCACCCTATCGTCCACCTTTTTTCAATAACACACCATTTAGACCAAATTTCCAAAATACTTTGCATCCAAGACCAAATTTTTCAAATTTTTCGAGACCTCCTTTTCAAAGGAATCCACAGCCTTTTAACGTATTTCAAAATAATCAACCTCAATTTTTTCAAAGACAAAATCCTAGTACAGTGACTAGAACCAGCCAAAATTCATATAAACCTGAACCAATGGATACTAGTTCTGGTAACTCTAGAATTAAACCAAACCCGAAATTTACCTCTGAACTTTTTGCCCAACAAATAGAAGAAAATCCAGAAAATATCGTAGATAGTTATGAACAGAACGAATTTCCCCAAGAAAATTACAACTATGTAACTGAACCATATATTTATCAGGAAAATAATTCGCCTTATTCGAATACTGACGACCAATATTATAATTACAATAATGCAACGGATTTTGACATGCCAGAAAACATTCAAAACTATGAACAGGAAAATTCAAATGTAAATTTTCATCAGGCTACTACCAGCAAGCCGAAGACATAGTACATCTCAATAGTTACAATAATCGTGTAGATCTTCCTCACATTTACATTCCTGAACTTGACGCTTACTTTCTTATTGACACCGGTAGCTCGAGAAGTTTAATAAAACCATCTTTAGCTTATAACTTTTATCAGCAGTTTATTTCAAACGAAACTTTTAATGTTCGCACTGCTCACGCTATTACGTACCATAACGAAGTAGCTTATGTACCAAATTTTGAAATTTTTAGAATAGATGGTTATCATAAATTTTATCTTTTTGATTTTTCTCCTAGATATGACGGACTTATTGGTGCAGACCTTTTAAGTCAATTAAGCGCTACAGTTAATCTTAAAGAACATAGAATTGAAACTCCATTTGCAAAGATACCAATTATTTACGAGAATTCAGAAAAACCATTTAATCCTCAAAAACACCATATAAGCAATCATAAAATTATTATTTCACCTATATCACAAACTGTAGTTAAAATACCACTTAATTTAGAAAAAGGACTAGGAATTTTAGACTATACTAAATTTGGTAATAGAACAGAAATGCCTATAGCGTTAGTTAACGTAGAAAATCTTTTTGCGTACACTACCATAATAAACGCTAATGAAAATCCAATGAAAATTGAAATTAAGGAACCATTAGAAATTGAACCAATAAAGCCTTGCAAAGAAATATTACCTTGAATTGATCTAAAAGATTGATTAAACATAAAATTTGAATTTGAAATATAAATATGAAAGTGAGACTAAGAAACAAAATTTTCTTTAAAACGAAATATCGCCATATCTACATTCACCCAGCAGTTATATTCACCTATATTTCACACGCTAAGCATTGAGTACGTATAATATGCCAAACTTCAAAGTATTCTAGGAAAACCCCTTATGTACCTCTCATGTTTACAGAAACTGCAAATAAACCTTTTCAAGTGTTACATATTGATGTGTTTAAATTTGACAAGCAAGAGTTTTTAACTATCATAGACGCATTTTCTAAATTAGGTCAAGCATTCCCAATTCAAGCAAAAACTGCAATCGAAATTTGTAATAAGCTTTTACAATATTTTTGTTTCTATGGCCTACCTGAAAAGATAGTTATGGACAATGGAACAGAATTTAAAAATGACACGGTAAAGGAATTACTAAAAGCTCACAAAATAGATATACATTTTACTACCCCATTTCACCACGAATCCAACTCATTGATTGAACGGTTTCATTCAACTCTTATAGAACATTTAAGAATACTTAATCAAAAATATCAAAATTACCCTATTGCAAAAATAATGTTATATGCACTTATTGCCTATAATAATACCATACATTCAAGTACACACTTTACACCTTTAGAAGTAACTTTAGGTCATACAAGTTGTAGAGACCCTTCAGTTTTAATAGACGTAACATATTATAGAGACTACGTTGCGAATCATAACGACAAAATAAAACACTTGTATCAGAATATATCCGAAGATTTAAAAAGAAAGAAAACAAAAGTTCTGGAAAAAAGAAATATCAAAGGTGAGACACATCAATTTAAAATTGGTCAAACTGTCTATAAGGTTAATGTTCAACGTGATAAAAAAGAAAATAAATTTAAAGGACCTTACGAAATTATCGAATTATTAGAAAATAATAAAGTAAAGGTTAAAAATAAATCCAATAACAAGACAGAAACTATACACGTAAAAGAATTAAAAATACCTCTTGTTTCAGATACACCTTCTGCTTCGCAGTAGCAGTAACTTCTTCAAATTTTTACAATCTGAATAATAACCCCGGAATTCTACCGCTTAAATTAGGTATAGCACAAAATGTTATCAATCACTGGTCTCTTGTACAAATCTTTGATATTACAAATATGATAAATGAATTCACNCGTTTTCTGATCAGCGAAGTATAGATTGCCTTATACATGATTTAATTTCTCTAAAACCTCATAAAAATGAAACTCCGTTACAATTTGGTATGCGAGTACAAGATTGTCGTAGTCTTCTTTTGGCAAAACTTAATGCATCAGATGCAACAGAAATCGAAAGACGTATTAAAATAGAACACTACAGTAATTTTGCTTTAAAAACTTTTATTAACGGATTACCTTATCAAATGCAATTAGTGGTTAGATTAAAAAATCCGACTTCATTAGAACAAGCCTTAGCACATGTAACTGAAGAATAAAATTTTGTTTATTTCAGTACAGGTCATAACCAAAATCTTAAAAATCCTGTTTACAAACCTCAAGCTTGTGTAAATCAAAAACCAAACCCAGTTAATTTTATATCTTCGCATTATACGCAAAATCCTCAAAGTTCTACTTTTCCATTTAAAATACCTTCACAAACACCACCCTATCGTCCACCTCTTTTCAGTAACACACCATTTAGACCGAATTCCCAAAATACTTGGCATTCAAGACCAAATCTTCCAAATTTTTCGAGACTTCCTTTTTAAAGGAATCCACAGCCTTTTAACGCATTTCAAAGTAATCAACCTCAATTTTTTCAAATACAAAATCCTAGTATAGTGACTAGAACCAGCCAAAATTCATTTAAGCCTGAACCAATGGATACTAGTTCTGGTAACTCTAGAAT